ATTTGGGCAAAGATGGCCGCTCCCAGACTCAGTGATCACAATGAAAATTAATTAACACTAAATTCATCAAATCATCAGGAACATGTTAGTTGTAGGTCTAACTAATGATCCGCTGATTATTCCTTAATGATGGACTGTTCCTTTAATGAGCAGCAGCTAGAATTCGCTGAATTAACTCATCCTAATAACAGCATTTATACAGGAATGAATAACTCTAATTTAATGCTTTTAATTTTTCGGTTCCTTTTGTTTCAATGCAGAAAAGATCTATAAATCAGGAAAAATGTCTTAAATTAAATGCATTTAACCTTTAATTTGAATAATATTTTTATCTTTAAAATCAGACAGTTAGATAATATTTATTTTAAAAGGAGAAAGCATTATTTTCTTATTTTAAATGATCTTATTCCGACTGTCGGTTTGTATTTTTTGCAGCGTTCTGCTCGGAGCAGTTTTCCTCCTGAGGGTTTTCCTCTCTTCAGGTTATTAAATCAGAAAGAGAATTGCTGATGATTTACTGTATTTCCTCATAAGAAGTGAGGCCATCATTCTTCCAGCCTACTAGACAGCTTCCTTCCAGTCTGCTGGGGCTTCTATTAGTCATTTAACACTCCATTTGGCCCCGGCTCGGCCGTAAAGCTCTCTGTTTATTTATTATTCTTTCCTGGAGATCGCAGCGGCGTCTGGAGCGTATTAATCCCTGTTCTCTGCTTGCTTTGGCCAGGCCTCCCGTCAGCGGAGAAACATCTGGAAGTGGCGGCCATGGCCGACTGCGTGCCTTTTCTCGGCGTGGAGGACCTCAGGGAGGTTCTGAGCGCCGTTCTTCACAGGAAGGCTTCCAGACCGCAGGACTGCCGTCCGCTCAAAGTCACAAACTACCTAAAAGTAACCCAGACGCCATCTTTGTTCTGCGTTGTATTCCTGCGTTTCCGAAACAGACGGCGGTTGTTTCCCTCCGCAGGCCGAGGCGGTCCGGCTGGCCCGTCAGCTGCCTTCGAGTTTACGCCGCGGTGACGTGGAGGAGCTGGTCGGACGGATGGAGCGGCGGCTGGGCGGAACCGAACGGACCTGCATCCACGGGCGGCGGTTCTTCCATCACCTGGTCGACGTTCCGTCTACAGACGAGGAGGCGGAGGCTCTGCTCAGACCTCTGGAACTCTGATGTCACACCTTACAGAAGCTCCTCCCTCTCCTCAGGTCGCCGCCGCATGGCGATGAACCCGCCTCTCGCTCAGTTAGTGAGAAACTAGAGGCTGGACTTTGACTAGGCCGTTCCAGCACCCTGGTTAGTGAGTCTGCACACCTCGACTGAAAGGCAGGTTTTATAAATAAAAAGATTAAAAACATTTTTCCACTTAAAATTTTTAATTGGAAACATTAAAACGACCCGTTAGCTTTATAGCAACCTTCTCAGAGCGGGTCATGATGCTGCCACCACCGTGTTTCAGCTTGATGGATCTAAAGTCCAGCTTTGGGTTCCTCATTGCTGCAGACGGATCCTTCAGACGTGGAGAACATCAGCGATAGTTTTCACTTCCAGACCAGTTTATGATCAAATAATGAGGGAAAATCAAGCATGGCAGCTGAATCTGATTCACGACTAACCGGACGGCGTCAGAAGATGCTTTGAGCAACTGTCTAAGGGGCGTGTGTTTGTTTTTAGGGGTGTGTAAACTTTAGGATCGTCCACCTGATCCTAAGCGTCCAGCAGCAGCTGCTCTCTCAGGTATTTCTGATGTTTTCCCGCCTTGCCGTCATGTTTAAGGTCTCCCTTTAAACCAGGCTGTATGTAGAACTGTTAGCGTCCAACGCTCGGCTTCCATCTTTAAATGTCTGATTTTGTCTGAATAATCAGGGACGAGTTTAAGGCAGGATTGACAGGCTGTTTGCTAAACTCCCTGCTGGACCAATGAACGGCAATAAAAGCACCCGGTCGGGGGCCCGGGGCCCAGATGGCCAGCTGCTGAACGCTGCCTGTCTGCACCTCTGCTGTGATTTATCCTCTCCGCCTGCGCCGCGCTTGCTTTTCCCATTACAGAGGAGGAACGGCCAAAGCTGACAGCCACATGTGGGGATGCGAGACGTGATTAACGGCCGCGTTCGGCCGCTGCTGGAGGCGACGCCGCGGCTCTGTTTACAGAACGCTCCGACATCCATGTTTGTTTGTGAGGAGGGGTCGGAGGGAGAGCCGGGGGACGCAGCTTCATCCTCAGAGGACGCGGCGATGACAGTGATGAAGAGCGGAGACGCGCTCCGAACACACAGGGGCGCGGAGGCGGATGTCAGCTACGTGTCAGAGAAGTTTGGACCGGTTCTGACTTCTGGGAAACAACACTTAGGGTCCAGTTTACAGCTGTGAGTGACGGCGGAGCAGCGAGCTGTTCTTTCCACATCTCGTCCTCAGCAGATAAATCCAGCCGCTGTCTGAACCCAGATGATGTAAAACACAACCGTCCGTCATCGCTTCTTCCACAGAGAGGAAAACTGTCACCATTTAAAGCCCATTTTCCCTGAAATCTCTTCCTCAGTCTCACCTTCAGCGCTTCGTCTGATGGAAGCTGATTCCAACGATAAACATCTGAATTATAAGAAACTCCATTTCTATCCATTTTCCTTTAAGTTGGTCAAATCATAAAACCTCTGATTTAAATGGACATAAAAGCAAAGAGCAAAAATGCTTTTGTTCTTTTGTTTTTTAACTACGGGGCGCGTTTGTAAAGTTAAGGAGTCAAAAATTAGGAGCATTATTTATGAAGTTTTTCACTTCATTCATTAATTTATAAAAATCTTACTTTCTTAAATATTTAGTGTTGAGCTAAATATTTATTCAACTTATTAATTTTTTAGTTTGTTAAATAAATATTTACTTTGGAAATGAAATATTTAGTTTGATAAATATTTAGCTCCAAACTAAATATTTTATTTAACAAATAAAAATTTATATTAATGAATTAATGAATTGGAAAAAAAGTGACCATCTTATTTTCTCTTAAAATGCACCATATATGCATAAATATTGCTCCTAATTTTTGACAGTTTAACGTTACAGACGGCGCCTCATATTTAGCGTCTCAGAATAAAAACACAGACTTTAGGAAATAGATCAGTTGAGGAGTGATGTCTGGTTTTAGATGCAGCTAAAGCATAAAATTCTAAACGCTGCGACTAAACCTGCAGCTTTTTAACACCCGTCGCATTACTGGGAGCTTCAGCTTGTTTCTACCTGCAGTCCATCACACAACGCATCCGCCCCCTAGGAAAATACATGTTTATGGACTCTGGGGGGAAGGAGGGGTACCCAGAGAGAACAAGAGTTTGCATGAGGAGTAAAGACTCGGTTCAAAGCCACGCCCCCCTTACTGCAGCAGCAGTTTAAAGCAAAGGAAGTGGCATCAAGGTCATTAAATAGTTCATGAAGATTAATAAATAAAATGCAAATATGAAATGATTAAAACAAGTTGGACTGTAAAGTTTAAAATCTGGATTTAAAGCTCTAGATTCAAATCTTTTTCCACATTTCTGGGGAGTTTATTGCAGATTAAAGGAACAGAAGAACTAAAAGCTGCTTCTCCACGTTTGGTTCTGGTTCTGCATATTAGAGCAGATCCAGAGGACCTGAGAGGACTTGGAGGTGGAGCCACCTCAGTCTGGAACGTTCAACCCTGGAAGCATCCGTGCTCGCCACAGGAACATGGCGACGACGCTGCACTGCTGCTGTACCTCAGTAGAAATGAATCCTCCCTTCTGGAAAAAAAAATCACTTCTTTAGAATCACTACATCGTTTTACATAATGCAGGTTTGGACAAACTATATCAGCTACAGTAGCAGCCGTTCAAAATGGCCGTTCCCAGTCAAACACCAGCCGAATGGAAGCCCACTTCCAGCCACTGGCCTCCTGGGCCTGCATGCTGTTTTTACTCTGACTCCAGCCTTTCACTGAGTTACAGGGTCTGACCAGGAGATGATGCTTCTCTTTAGATCTTAATGTCCACAAAACATGACAGAAAGAATATTTTAGTACAAAGATTGATGTTTAAAAAGGAATCTTAGGGCACCAGCCAAGGAAAGTTGGGAAAATGTGAACGGCTGCTACTGTAGGATGTGAATTCTATATTCAATCTGCTTTAGGTTCTTTTCTCATAATGAATGAAATCAATTATTTTCCTCTGCAGAGTTTAGTTATGAATGAAATGACATCAGAGACGTTTAGCTTCTGAATACTGATGGTTTCTGTGTTGGGCCTCCAGTCCTTGACATTAGTAGCCTTTTACGTGTTCAGTTAGCCCTGATATCGCCATCCTGAACCGTTATTCAACTTCTGACTTTCCAGATGAAGGTTTAAGCCGAATCTTTGCATCTAAAACCAGCTGAGGTGAAAGCGATGCCTCGTTTCACATTAACTAACATAAAACCTTCCAGAGTCCATCCTTTGCATCCAGCTTGGACATATCTGCTCATGTCTGGATTGCGTTGGGTCTGGTCTTTCCATAGGAGTTAAAAAACAATCCGCTGGACTTTGTTTCCAAGTTTGAAGACGTTTCTCTTTCCATCCAAATTACCAGTTTTAGTCCGTGAGGCAGACACCCTGTCTACTTTTAAGGCTAGGCTTAAAACTTTCCTTTTTGATAAAGCTTCTAGTTAGAGTGGCTCAGGTTATCCGGCTTACCGCACCGTGACGTCACTGCTGGAAGATAGCAGGAGGGAGGGGCTACTATATTTGGGCAAAGATGGCCGCTCCCAGACTCAGTGATCATGATGAAAGTCATTATTTTTATTCTTTTACTTATGCTAAATTCATTAATTCATTATCGCCGCAAACGTGTGAGTTTTAGGTGTAAATAATGATCCATTGATTATTCATCTCTGATTGGACTTTTCCTTTAACGACCACATCCGATCCGTCTAACCGCCGTGTCTAAAACCACACATCATCTCCAGCTGGAAGCCTGAACATGTCAACGAGTTCACTGAACTCCAGGGATGACGATCCTGCAGTGAACGTGTGATGCCATGGCGTCCGCATGGACCACAATCAGAGGAATGCTTCTGTCACCATGTTGAATATCGTCCATGAAGAAATCAGCTGTTTCTAACCAGAGGATGGTGATAATACACAAAACTGACACAGATTTATTTCTTCTTCTCCCCAAAGATGATGCAAAATCTTGTTCGGTTCATCTAGTTTCATATGTCTAAACAGAAGCAGGTGGTCTGAGTACTCGGTACTCCGTACGGCCGCTTCTTCCAGCAGATCCAAAAATAGAGCTGGAGAGGCGTTAAATATAGCTCGTGATTTTATTTCAAATTTGATGAGTCTGTTAAAGTCTATGGTTACTTCTGGGCTATAAGATCGCTGTATAAGTGGCCCAGCTGCTAACGGTGACCTGTGGCTCTGCACATTAAGGTAGTAACAGGAGAACAGAAATCTGTCTGATGACGTTTGTGAAATGAAGATGAGACATTTTACATGCTTTCCAAAACTGCCCTCTTTCCTAATCTACCTCCTGGGGGAGAAATCATTAGCAAACGCCTCATTTCAACAGCAGAAAGTCAATGAAAAACAGGTGGTTTGGAAGACAGCTGGCAAAATGAACCAGCGCTGACCTTTTAAAGAACCTGGTCACACGGTAAAAAGATGATCATCACCTAATCCTGCCCAATTACTCTGATATGTTCCTTGGATGCCGAAGGCAGTGCAAACACGCTGCTTCTCACATTTATGAGCAGCACGTATCCAAGGGTGACGAGTCTCAGCCAATAGCTGAAGTGGGCTTGGAGAGCTGAGTCAGGAAAGAGGCAGGAGTCTTCGCTGGCATTCGCTTTATTCCCAGAAGCGCTTTGCAGAGTCTGGGTCCTGCAGCAATGCTGAAGCCATCTGGGAGTTCTCTCAGCACAGGCCACATAAACCTCAACATGTGCTGCGGTTTGACCTTTCACAGCACTAACTATAATATTATCATAAGCTGAGGGATCAGGTTGCACTGCTCCCTGCGGTGGGATTCAGTATCCATATGTAGTGATGATAAGCCAAAACCTTCCCTGGCTGCTTGTATCCCTGACATCCAAATGCGAACACATGACTCTCAACACTTACTATTCACCGCTTACAGACTGCTTCTGCTTCTGCTTTTGGATTAATTACTGGTTTCAGGTCAAACTTATTTTAAAACTAGACAAAGATATTTGTTGGAAACATAAATAGCAGCTTTGAAATGATTCCAGTTATTCAAACTAACTTGGTCTGTAGGGGCGAAGTCGACGCTTAAAGCCTCGGAGTGTTTTTAAACCGGAATCTTATGGTTGATGCGCATTTGCCGGGACGAAATGGTAAACAGGAAATGTTCAGATGCTCTTCCTGCTTGTAGTGGCGATTGTTTGTCAAACCAGACATCCAATAAAGTTCCAATAAGCCACTACAGGCACTAGGGTCACGTTTTCTTGACGCAGGCAAAAGGCAAAAGAAGTTGGAAGTCCAAACTTGTAGATGTTCAGTTGATTTATTTCCTATATTTTTTGCATCATTACAGAGTTCAAACATTCCTTGCTCTGTCACCTTGACTCTTGCGCTGGTAAAAACCCATAGGCCCCTAACCCAAATGCCTGCTGGTCCTTACCAGGCTCCGACAATAAAGAAAGTGGACCGCCCACTAAGGAACGAAAAAATGACAAAACAACAGAAAATAAATACACAAAATTCTACAAAGAACCTATAAATAAAGTCTGTAAATAATACAAAGAATATATAAGTTTAGGAATTAACACAATTCAAATGGATAAAGAATAAATAGCTCCAACACTGCTTTTAAAAGTCGATTTATTCCCACTGTTGCTTGCTTACAAAACACAAAATTATACCAACAGCCAGCTGTGGGTTGAGAGCGTTTCCCGGCCAAGCGGTCTAAACCGATTAGCCTTTCCGGTGAAACACACTTTCTTTTATAGAGTTTGTACGTATCGGCTCCACGTGGTCCTTAAGGGAACAGGGCATGGCTGTGGTGTAGTTTTACCTTCCAAAGCCAGGTCTGATCTCTGGTCGGCCAGTGGATTCAGGGAATAACTCACCTGACGACGTGAGGAACCTGAAAAAGAACCAAATCATTTCCAGATCCAAGTAAAATACAAGAACAGGTGAGAAACGATCCACACATGGAGAGAACATGGTACAGCGGCCAACCTAAGGGACTACTCCAGTCATAGAGGAGCCGACATGTAAACATCTTCAGGTGTCTTTGACTCGGAGACTAAAAAGCAAAACCACAACTGACCCAAAAAAGCCCATCTCACATTTACATGGAGACATCTTGAAATTCCCTCTGTTGATCGTATTTTTATAGAAAGAGAATGATCCCTGATCCAATCGTGCAAAGTTAGTCAAACTTCCTCCACAGTTATTTACAACACTTGTTGCCAATTATTGTGAATGGTTGAAGCAACCTGTTGTTGTCTCCAGGGGAACAGCCAGTTTGTAGGTTTAAGGTGTGGTTACGTTTTCATGGCAATGTTTGTGCCACTGGCACAGCCTTTTAGGGACCAACAAGATTACGTTGAACTAGACGACTTGATAAAATGTCAAAACAGACTCCTTTTATTTTCAAATAACCTCTCCACTGAAAGCCCTTTAGCAAAACTGGAAAACAAGGTTTACATAACGGATTGATGTCTTCAGGAAG